ACTGAAAGAAGACAGTGATAAACTTCTGAATGAATTCAGAAAACAGTTAGAAATAATGAAGAATACTCAGGATGAAATGAAAAAGGAAGTGAATCACTCAGTAAGCCAATTAGAAACAACAGGAGAAAGCCACACCAATAGGATGAACGAAATGGAAAACAGAGTATCAAGACTGGAAGATAAATGGATGAACTAGACCACTAAAGCAAAGATTATGAAAAACTTAAGAGATCACAAGAATGGAATATGCAGGAATTGTGTGATACCATAAAAAGACCAAACTTATGTATCATAGGCATACAGGAAGGAGAAGAATCCCAAGGTAATGGCATGGACTAGATCTTCAACAGAATCATGGAAGAAAATTTCCCAAAATTAAAGAAAGACATGCCCATAAAAATACAAGAAGCATATAGAACACCAACAGACGGGACCAGAAAAGAAACTCTCCACAGTACAACATAGTGAAAACAGTAGAGATACAGAACAAAGAGACAATACTGAAAGCTGCAAAAGAAAGACAAGTCACATAAAAAGGAAAACCCATTAGGATTACAGCTGACTTTTCAGTGTAAACTATGAAAGCCAGAAAGGCCTGGACCAAAGTATTCCCAGTTCTAAATGACCACAGATGCCAACCCAGATTACTTTACACAGCCAAAATGTCTATTATAGTCAAAGGGGAAAGAAAAATCTTCCATGACATAAATAGGCTGAAAGAATTCATGTCCACAAAATTCATGTCCAGCCCTTCAGAGAGTTCTTGAAGCAATACAAAGAGCTGACAAAAGGAATGACTATACCCAATGGGGTTATGGGAAGAAACTCAGTGAAGGTATAACTGGAAATGCACAGCTATACCAAGAATGTGAACAGAAAAAAATGACAGGATTCAATACACATCTTTCATTAATAACTTTAAATATCAATGGACTAAGCTCCCCAGTCAAAAGACACAGACCAGTTGAATGGATTAAGAAACAAAACCCAGGGGCTGGAGAGATGGCTCAGTGGTTAAGAACACTGACTGCTTTTGCAGAGGACCCGGGTTCTATTCCCAGCACCCACATGGTGGCTACCAACCATCCTTAACTTCAGTTCCAGGGGAATCCAAAGCCCTCTTCTGACCTCTGCAGCAATGTACAACACAGGTGCCTTGCACTCACATACATGCAGGCAATTCACTCATACACATAAAATTAAACAAAAAACAAACAAAAAAAGAATACCAAAACTGTTAAAATAAAAAAAATATATCTTTTTGTTGTCTGAAAGAAACTCATCTCACTTTCAAGGACAGGCATGCCTTAAGGTGAAAGGTTGGAAAAAAAATATACCAAGCAAATGGTACTAAGAAAAAAGCAGGCCTTGCAATTCTAATAGCTGATAAAATAGACTTCAAACTAAAACTAGTCAGAAGAGATAAGGAGGACC